GCCTGTGGTAAGGGAGCAGGACCAGTTTTCTTTTTTGAGACAGGGTCTCACTCCGTAGTTCAGTGACCTGGAACTCGCACTGATTGCCCTGCCTCAACTTCCTGAGTACTGAGGTTACAGGTGTGTGCCCCAAAACGCAGTTGGCTTTTACTTTTTCAGTCAGAATGTTCTAATCATCACTCTAGTTTGCCCCTATTCTCTCTGGAGGGGTCAGCAGTTGGAGGATAGGTATCACTTTCCATTTTCCCCCATGTTAACTTGGGTGCACCGTTGCTTGGATCTCTGCTGTTTGTCTAACACTGGCCAGGTTTATACCTCTTAAATTTTACTTTTGTTTGTGGACCCTTTCAGATTTTCTTATATGTGTTTAGGTGTTTTGTTTGTTTTTTAACTTGTAAGCCCTTGTAAATCATAACATAGTTTGCTGGGTTATTTGTTATATTTAGTTTGTTCCAGATTAAACAGTGAATAAACTGACCTATACAGATAGTAAATATTGTCATGTATCAGTGGGTTTGTTTTTGCTGCATTTTTCTTTTATGTCTTGCAGTCAAAATAAGGAAATTGGGTTTATTCGGTCACCGTGGCCTTAAGTTATCTTACATCAGTTTATGTCGTGATTTTTGTAACAGTAAGATCAGCATGATGACTCATCAGACTTAACACGTTAAACCTCACATTTAGGCTGGACATACATTCTTTGCTTTCTTATTTGTTAGGAAAGAATACCTCCTTTACCTATTACTTCTGCAGAAATGTGTATGATTATGGAGGCTGAAAGACGAATGAAAATGATGCTGGGAAATGTTAGCATCTCCATCACTGTTTGACAGTGTAATGTGATGTCAATAAAAAATAGAAACAAGTGAAAAAAGAAACAACTGGCCTCGTAATGGTCTTTAGACATTATCTGAGAAGACTGCCACTTATCCAAGCTGTTCTCAGAAACCAAGTAAGGACAGAGAGGGTAGCTTAAAAAAAGTCTAGCCTGTCTCCTCGAAGCCCTTGCTAACAACTTGGGTGACGTCACAGGGCATGGTGCTGTCCCTGTACTTTTCCTCCCTGTCTCCAGTCACTCCAAGTGCTGTCCTTGCGCTGCCGCCCCGTCCTGTCTACCGCCCTTGCTCTGCCTTTGTCACCTCTCCCTGGGATCCTGACT